GAAGAGGTACTCTCTGGTTTCTCCAAGTGCATGGTTCTTCGCTGTTGCATTCTAGGCAACTTACTTGCCTCCCCCTAGGCCCTTGGTGACAAAAGGAGTCTTTGGGGCAAGAGGAGTCATTAAAGACTTATGTAATTGGATTTCTGTTTTAGAAAGAGTGATGTTTAGTCTAGAAGTATGGCATTGGACTAGAGGACACTGAAACTAGAGTAAGAAAGACATGTTAGGGGACTGTTAAAATAATTGAAGTAAGAATGACGAGGATCTGTGCAGAGGAGCCCTCCTAGGCTTCATCTCCCATGTAGTCAATTGAAAGTCTATTAATTTTATCTCCTAAGTAACTTCCATTACCATTTCCACTGCTAAGCTCTTAGCTTTGCTTGTCTGGATTCTGCAATAGCCTGCCTCTACTCTATGCTGCCAGTCACCGCTGTCCAAGTAATCCATTATATAAATATCATGTTGCTTCCTTTCTCAAACTTTTTCATGGATCTCTACAAGGAAAACTACTCAGCAGATAAGATCACTCATAATCTGTCCCTCTCTGTCCAGTCTTTTCCACTATTCCCTGCTCTCAATCTTTGCTTTAGCAATACTGACCCCTTGCAGGTTCCCAACTGGAGCATATTCTCTCCTGTTGATGTGCCTTTGCCTATGATGTTCCCTCTGCCTAAAATGTCCTTTCTCCTTTGGTCCATCTGGAATCTTATTCAGCCCTAATGCCAGTATTGGCTATCCATTCATCCACTTAATTGTCATTGGAGCTGCCTTGTTCTTTCATGTCTTAGAGCTGAATGCTCTTATGCATTTGAACCAGGTAAAGATAATAAATCCATTCTTTGGGATTATTTTAAAGTAGGATCTCTGCTTTTGGAGAAAACTGTAAGTTGACAAATTAAGAAGTGAGTGATGAAGAGATCATGAGGGAGTCCTAGCAATGTTGAGTCCCTGGCTTTAGCTACCCTTCCATGAATAAATAAATCCCCTCTTTTTTTTGCCCAGTTCACAAATGTGTTTCAAGTGCCAAGACAGTGATCCCTGCTGGAAACCTCTAATTGCAAGCATCTTTGTCTATTGATCTCAGTGTATTATAATTTTCTCAATGATCTGATGTGATAATCTGAAAAAAGTTTGAGAAGCACTAGCCTAAGCTAGAGCACTGATTCTCAGCTGGGGGCAGTTTTGCCCCCCGGGGGACATTTGATATGTCTGGAGACATTTTTGTTTGTCACCATTGGGAGGAGGTGCTACTGACATCTAGTGCAACGGTCCCCAACATTTTTGGCACCAGGTCTGGTTTCACGGAAGACAATTCTTCCACGGACTGAGGGTATGGAGGCAGGGACGGTGAGCAATGGGGAGCAGCTGTAAATACAGATAAGCTTTGCTTGCTCACCGACTGCTCGCTTCCTGCTGTGTGGCCTGATATTCCTAACATGCCATGGACTGGTACCGGTCCACAGCCAAAGGGTTGGGGACTGAAGATCTAGCAGGTAAAGACCAAAGGTGCTGCTAAACATCCTATAATGCACAGGAACCACCCTCCACAACAAAGGATTAATCAGTCTAAAATGTCAACAGTATCATTTTTGAGAAACCTTGAGCTAGGTAACCTGAACCGTTACTCTACGAGTGCACGAGTGAACAGATGGTAACAGATTCTTGGCAGAGGCTTCAAGTGCCAGTGCCAAATACTTCCACATCCAAATTAAAGTACCACCTGGAGGTGGGGAAATTACTTCCCCTTCATGTCAGGCCAAGGCTGAGGGGCTTTGAGAGGACCATTTGGAAAAAGATGACATGTGTCCACTGGATTCTTGGAGAAATGAGACCTGATAACCGATTCACATCTGAGAAGTCTTAAGAGGCTGAGGCTGCCTCTGAGCAGAATATGCACACAGGGCTGATTGGGAACAGCTCACACTTCTGTGCAAGATACTGGTATGCTTTTTGTGGACCAAGTGAGAGCCCTGTGTAAGCTGGACTGAGTTATCTTGAGAGCAGCTGTCCAATAGAACTGCCAATATGGACGAGATGACCCTAACCTAGGGATGGACCCCTGGAAACCGGAGACTGAGGTGTATGTCATAGGTAGCCAGCCAGAAGATACATGGCTGAGCCAAGAAACTATAGGTGAGGTTTCCCCAATGAGGCACGCTGTGAGAGAAAGGGTCAGCTTCACACTGCAGCTACATCCAGAGGGCACTAACACTGGGCTAAAACTGTTTCAATCCAGAAAGATTCTTTCTGTTTTTGTCTTCTCCACCCCTAGAGAGGCACTCCCAAAAAACTAGTCAGCCAGGGAGAAGAAAGAACAAGGTGGGGAGAGTGGCAGAGCATTTTTGAACTGTATAAGTCTGGGGATTTTTGACATTGTATTCTACAGGATTTTTTTAATACTAGGGGAAAAGACCATTATTTTATCATGAGAAAATTATTGGATGACTTTTTAATTACATGAGATTGACTGGAAAAGCAAAATGCTTTGCCTCAGATTTTGTACTAGGAGAGGGATCCTCAGAGATTTTCAGGGATAATAATGAGATAGAATAAAGTTGATTTCTGGTTGCCCCCTGCCAAATCTAGCTTGTTCGCCAAATTAAAAACAACGGTTTAATTGGGTTTCTGGCACTTATAACCAAAAACATATTTTAAAGTCTCGGTTTAAATTGAGGTTTCACCACAGGGGACTAATGATGCTTTGGACTCTCCTGTCACATCAATGCAAAGGAAAGTGACTAATTCCTTCTTCCACCAGTCCTCCTCAGGAGTATTGCCAACTATCCACCCAGGGGACAAAACTGCCTCCAGCGGAGAACCAACGAATATTTGAGTTCTTCAATGCTAGGCTCTGGGAATATTATGAACAAGACAACTAGTCACTGTTCTCATTGAGCTTAAGTTCAGAGGAGGCAGGCAAAAAAATTAAGTACACAAAAAAATCTTAAAATAATTACAAATTATAATAAATTCTCTAAAGGAAACAAGCAGGATTCTGAAATGGGAAATAATGGAGTGATATGCCATGTTAAACAGAGTATAATAGGTAGGAGTTAGCCAGGTGAATGAGGGAT